GGTAACCTCCAAGAATCAGCCAACGTATACTTCTTCATAAACTTCCAGCCCTAGATAGTTCTCATGTGGTCGGCTGGACTAGACTCACATGAGAAACCCTAGATAGATAGGCTCTGATACCARGTAGAYGATCAAGACTACAATCAGCCTTGAACCCTAATAGATTTCAGATTAGGAAAAGTAGAAGAAAAGAAAGAGAAAGGAAAAAAGAGAGAAGAACTGGAAAAACAAAGGTTGAAAGAAGGGACAGATTCAGAATGATCTGCTGCCGCCACTCTCTTAGTATTTATAGGTTATGTTCAGTACATAGGGAAAAGGACAGATCTGCCCTTAGTACTTACATGACAAATAAAGCAAATAAGAAACTGAAATAACAAACTGACCACCAACTGACACTACCATGACCGAAACAAATAATTACACATACTGTCCTACGAACACAGTGGGGACCACAGCTGTGGGGCCCACATCAGTGTTCTCTACAGCATCCATCCTATCACCAATTTTGAGTCCCCTTCTACTTCAATATGTTGTACACCCAACTGTTTCACTAGTCACTGCCCTTGAAGGAGAGCTAATACTTCAGTCATTAGGGAGTCTCCCATTCCTATTTACATTGCCACAATCTTTCCTTCTCCATCTCTTATCACACATCCTATCCCTGAAGGACCCAGATTACCAAAGGAGCTTTCATCAAGGTTTAGTTTACACCTTTGGTTCACTAGAGGAACCCAACTTTCCAGAATCAATTGGGGAATAGACAATTAGACACTAAGAGAGAGAAACCAATTAAGCCTCCTTTTCTGCATCTTTTTTTTGAAAGGTAAAGTAAGATTTCATTAATTCAAATTGAACAAATTACAACAGGAGATAGCCACTTAAGGACTAGACAGAGCACAAGGCCAAGTTACAGATTCCAAATGGACTTAGATCAAAACAACTCAGGTACATTCAGGTTCTTAAAGTCAGGAGTTACAGACATGCAAGAGATCAGCTTGCTAACCGCCTGCTGCACTACCTCATCAGTGCTCTTTGTCTTGTTGCATAAGACTCTCCTGTTCCTTTCTAACAAGATTACCCAAAGAACAGCCGCAGGAACTGTCTCCCATATTAATTTTCCTTTTTTCTTCAGGCCTGAAATCTCCCAACAGAACAGCAGGCCTTTGACTGAATTTGGCATGACCCAGCAAAGATCAATAGCCCTAAGAAAATGATCCCATACTCTGGAGGAGATAGGGCAGTGGATACACAGGTGGTCTGTGGATTCAGAAAATAGACCACACAGCAGGTAAGAGAGATGAAGACCTCTCCTATCCAAATTTTAGAGCGGCTTTTGTTCAGCACCATTGTCCACACAAGGAAGTTGGACTTAGGGGGAGAACTAGGATTCCACACTTGATAACAGGGAAAGTCAGCACCACTTCCTTTTCTGCAGCAAATCACAAGTGTTTATCTTATTCTGAACCACTTCCCAACAGAAAACCTTAACTCTGGGTGGTACTGGAATACACCAAACTTCTTTAGCTGAAAGGACATGGCCTGTGATGCAGGAGCTGAAGAGTCAAAATTGGAATTTTATGATATTTTATGTATTTCTGTATTTTTGGACAGTAGGGGTATTTTTGTCATTTTTTGCAATTTTCAGCGGGGTCCAATGATAGGGTTTAAATTGTCTATTTATAGTTTGTTTATGTTTAAAATTTCAGAGTCATTGCATAAGTAGGATTAGAGTTATTTAGTCTTCTTTGAATTGAAATATGATATGACAGCTTAGTTTGAGTCCTACTAGGATTATCAAGTCAAACAGTTTGACTCCTAAGACTATTATGAGTCTAACAGTTTGACTCCTAGGATTATTATGAGTTTAGAGTCTATAAATATGTATGGGCGTTTTACACAAAGGCAATGAAATTTGTAGAGTTTTCTTCAGCTTATGCTAGCTATGGTGAGTGATTCACATGCCCTAGAGTGATTCTAGGCACCCTGTGAGTGATTCCAGGTATTTTCTCTCTTCTTTCTCCCCTTATTTTCTCTCTTATTCCTTCAAGAAGCCATTACAGCCATCAACAGCAATAAATTTCTGACCAAGAAGACCATTCAACACTCTTTAAGGACTAGAACTGAGCTGATCCTACATCAGCCTGACTAGAAGAAAGAAGGGCATAAAATAAAAAGGCACATTAAAAGAGCCCAGAAGGAGAGGCTGACCAACTCGTCAAGAGCCTCCATTTCAGACTCTCTTAACCCTCTTCTCAGGCACAGATCCCAAGCACCCCCATCACAGTGGAATTCAGAGACTGGTTTAAATTTTTGTAAGGAAATGGAATAGATAAAAGGGAATCTATCCATGAGAGAGCTCTTCCCTAACAGATGTCCTCCCAGAAAAAGAACTTTAGCACCAGTGCAAGCATCATACCTTACAAAAGGAAGGAATAAAGGAAGAATACCATGAATTTCTTTCCAAGGGGAGGAGTGGGATGCCCTCAGGTCAAGACCAGCATCCCAACCATTTACTGAATGACCATGAATGCTTACATTCATGTGCCACAACCTATCCTACTCAAGAGGCAATCTCTAAATCTACTTACCTAACAAAGCTATATTCCTCTTTTTGATATTACCTATTCCAAGACCCCTTTGCTCCCTACATCTAGTCTCCAACTCCCACTTTACCAAAAGACCTTTCTTTGAATCCCTCAGCTCCCACAAGAAATCTCTGATGAATTTCTCAAGTTTACTAGCAACCCCCATTGGAACGCTAAAAGTGGATAAAAATAGACCAGTAAATTTGCTAAGCCGGACTTAATTAGGGTTATCCTGCCTCCTAACAAAATGCAGTTCCTTTTCCACCCCGCCAGTCTCTTTGAGAACCTCTCCACTACTAGGTATCAAAACCTCTCAAAGAAAGGGTCCCCCCCCCTGCAACATCAAACCCAAATAGAACAAAAGCCATTCTCCCACCTCACACCCTAAGATTGCAGCAAGTCTAAGTCCTTAAACTAGCTATATTTATACCAGCCACACAACTTTATTCCCCAGTTCACCTTGAGATTAGACACCCTTTCAAAGTAATTAACTAGAGTTCCAAGATTAGACAATTCAATACATCAAATCATCCACAAATTGTAGATGAGATACGACCACTTCCTCCCTACTCTCCAACCCTTGACAGGATTCAATACATCAGCTCGGAAATCAAACTACTCAAGACATCTGTTACCATAGTGAAGAGAAAGGGTGATATTTGGTCACCTTGTCTAAGTCCCATTTTAGCTGGAAAGAAATCCCTAGCCACACCATTAACCAACATATAGTGACAAGAAGAGATACAATCCTTTATCCATTTGCACCATCTATCACCAAATCCCCTTCTCAAGACTTCCAGTAGAAATTCCCAATCAACCATATCATAAGCCTTTTCCAAGTCTAACTTACAAACCAATTCATGTTTCCCTTCTTCTTATTGTAATCAATACATTCATTTGCCACAAGGATTTGATCTATGACTTGTCTACCAACCACAATTCACAAATATGCTGTTACTGGAAGAGAAGAAAGGAGAACTTTTTTTCCTCAAAGCCAAAACCTTCGCAATGATCTTGTACATGTTGCCCACCAAACTAATGGGACTAAAATCCTTAGGATGCCTCGCATTCACCTTTTTAGGGATTAGAGCTATGAAAGTGGCATTTGCTCCTGAATTTATTCTTCCTCTCTCATGGAATTCCTCAAAAACCCCCATAGGACAATCAACTTTAGTGGTTCCTCCTCTTCACTCAGGTTTTGCTAAAATTGTACACTATCATCATATCTTGGTCTGACATATCTCAAAGTTCTTTTAATTCTTAAGCATGTCACTTCAGAGTTATGACCTTCCCTCTTAAATCTGTTTGATCAAAGTATGACATCAGCCCATACAGGTTTCCTTTCTATTTTTCCAAAATATGGGCTGTGTTAAATATTTATCATATTTTTTATGGTATACTTGCAGTCTTTATGAACACGCATATGAGGTTACATAGTTATTTAAATTTAGCTATTACACATTTTTAGCCAACTAGTCAACGTATCACCTACAAAATCCAAAACCACAAGTAAATTGCCTTGATACGTCAACATCCATGGAATACAAAACAAAATAGTGCATGATATGCCTTTGAAAGCAAAAATTCCTGAAGAACTAGGATTTGCAAGAACTCCCATCATGGCAATGGAAACAAAAGCACAATAGGTTCACCAATGGGCAGTAATTATCAGTAAACAGCAGCAACAGAACACACATAACTGTGCTTGAACATAATTTCTTTTCTTGGTCAGTTGAAAACATAACCTGTGCCATTTAATTGGAAACAAGAGATGTTTGTTTAGAATGAAATTACTTGTTTATTATGTTTTACCACAATTATGACATTTATAGAATTTTGTCAATAAATACTGCACATATCGATTCTATGAAGAAAGAAATAATAACAATAATTAAATTATTCCCCAATAACTTGTCCAGTAAAATGCATTTAAAAGAGAGAGGTAACCAAGATATCAAGCAACAATAAGAGCCAACCGTTCCATTTCATCACGTTCAATTTGGAAGAGTAACTTTCATGCATTAATATATAACTAGCTTTCCAACACACAATATGAAAACCAGAAAAAAAAAAAAAACTACTACAACAATTTTACACATTTCCGCACAGAACATACTTTAACTTCCTTAAGGCATGAGCAAGATTCACCACCGTTGGCTCCCACATTTCACTTAAAGATGAAGGAATGTGTGCCAATGTTTTCTCAAACCACCAGACTGCCTTTTTATACCTAATGCGCATCCAACAGACAATGAGGTACAAAATCAGAGTACTGAATACAAATGACTACAATAAAATACTAAAATTATCAAAATAATAAATACTACTACAAAACAATCTAAGAGTTCTCAATGAAAACTAGAAGGAATTGCAAAAAAACAGTCAACAAGACTACAAGGTAGAAGTAACAAATTGTAGTCTTAGCTGCTTTTTTCATTGTTTTAACCCGTGTGGAAAAGGTTATCTAGTAGTTGGTGACTTTGAATGGTAGACTAAATATTAACTTTGTCATTAATTAAAAGGTTAGATCACCAATGTTTTGATCAGCACATAAAACCATTTCTCAACCTTTAATGCCCAGATACAGAAACTAACAAGAACATTGATACAGAAACAGGTTACGAATGCATATTCTGGCTGAATTGTTTCTGCAGGTGCCAAATTCTAAACTATGAATGAGTTGGATTTCTTTTCTAAAAAAAAAAAAAAAAAAAAAAAACAAACAAACTTGAAACCTTATAGACCTAGAAGCAAAGTTTAAATATAAATGAACTCATGATCATCCTTGTAGGAAATGGAAAGGATATAAAGTTTATGGATTCTTCACTCTTGGCAGAAGCACTTGTCAAAATTACCAAGGATAGTAGGAGCAGGACACCAAGTGCTAGAAGCAGTGAAAGAAGATTTTTGTCAACTTAAGGTAAAGTTATTGACCAAATAGTCTGGACTCGTAACCCCAATCACTTTCTTTTATTATATGAAGCTAGCACTATATGACAACAATCTAATATAACCTAAACAATGTCAACTGTGTATGGAATAGTACAGTGTATATAAGTATGACGAGATTGATGCATGACAAAAAGAAACTAGAGCAGTACATGTCATGAGCCTTGAATTCCTTACTCCTTCATATGATAAGCAACAACACCAAGTTCATTATATACAAGTGGATCTGAAGGGCAAATTGTCTTTGCCTGCAGGAAAAACTGACCACAGAAAAGCCCAATAAGATTTTGATATTTCATTCATGATTAAAATGTACTTCCTTCCATAATTCCTCAAACGGTTCTCAAGTCACATGCATTAAGATACAACTCTAGATAACCAACAACAGAAAACAATTCACAGTATATATAAGAAGCCAGTGATATGAGAAACAATGAATTTTAATGCCAATAAAGAATCATGGAATGATGAAATTGTGGGCAGAACAAATTTGTTCCTTTCAGAAGGTTTTTTTTACATCTTTTTGAAGGGCCACACAACGAAAGGTAGCCCATCACCCAACCCATAACCCCTCCCCCAACCCAGGTGCAGGCAGGATTCAATCCCAAGTCTCTGCTACGACCAGCAGGAGACCTTACCGACCAGCTGGTTGGAACCTTGCTTCCTTTCAGAAGGTATTGAACCACAAAAGAAGATAGAATGGAGCAACCATACAAATTTGTTTGGTACCTTGACCCAAATGCTTTACATCTACTCATAAAACTTGATCACTACTAAATCAAAGAAAACACCTTCTCGAATGCAAACCATTTCATCATGTACTAGTACTTCTGCCAGTTCCATTTTTCAGTCCTATTGAGATTTGGTTTGAACATACTTGCTAATAATATAACACAGAGTGTATCTGTCTACCCACTTCTCATTACAAATATGAGAAAAATGTGCACATGTCACATGCAAGGGTTTCTTTTTGTTCATAAATTAATCCTTCTATGTTCTTGTATCGCAGAGACATGGGGTGTTATTAAATTGAACATCAGGCAGTTTAATTCCATAAAACCTTTTTCAGATTTGTAGCTCCTCTGATATATGTGCAACTACAATATTGAACTAGAGATCGAAAGTAAAGACTCTTAATAATCAACTTACTAAGGTATGCAACTCAGCCAACTGTCCTTTTTTTGCTTGAATTTCTTAATCCATTTACCTGTACACTTCCTTTATTTTTTTTTTGAGGAAAAGACAATTTGTATTAATCAAAAAGGGAAAGAGTGTACATGAGAAGATGTACAATGTAAGGCCATGAAGAAACAAAAGCACATGAGCCCATACAATTAAAATGGCAACGCATTTGCACTATTAAAAAAAAGATCCCTTACCAATCCAAACCAATTCAGATTTAGCTAAACTATCTGCCAACTGGTTCGATTCTCTTGGAATCCATCTGCAACTTCAATTTAAAGAAGAGGAAATGTCATGGATGATGGATCTCAAGAATAAGGTGACCACACTTCCAAGGGCTTGAGTCCCTGAACTTAGCCCAATTTATAGTGTTTCTGGAATCTCCTTCTATCACCAGATTTCTGATCTGCTGCTGAGTAGCAATCCAGAACCCCTCAAGGAGAGAATGGATTCCAGCACTAGCTGCATCTGAAGCTGAAGTTCGAGCACTAGAAGCCCAAACCAGGCCCCCATCAACTTTGCTGAGGATATCCCCAATACCAGTAGCAGTAAGACATCCTGATTTCTGCTAAAACTTCCATCAAACTGTAGGATATAATCTGTCTGTGGCCTGAGACTCTGGGAGGAAGAGGTTGGACAGTGATAGGTCTGGCCAGAGATGAAAGCATCACTTCAAGCCAGCTTCTATGCAAATCACCCCTGTTAACTCCAGCAAAAGTCTTTGTTTCTAGCATCCAAGAGTTAATTTAACTCAGAATCCGACTTTTTGATCTTTCCATTGAAGAGTCCCTGCCCTCAGAGATCCTTCTATTGTTCCTCTCAGATCCCCCACATAACCACATGTGATAGCTTTCCAGCAGCACTTACCTCCCTCAAACTTGTTGCACTGCCAGTGGTCAATAAACTCTCCTACAGTGTTAGAAGGAAACCAGCTGTAGTTACCATCAAAGACTTGGTCAAGGAAGAACAGCCAGAGGCTTCTAGGCTTCTAGCTACCATGCAATTGATAAGCAAGTGACCAACTGACTCCCCGACATTATAGCACATGACACAAACATGAGGATACCGATAAATGTACAGCTTTCCCTTCTTCTCTTGCAGGTTGTCACAAGTGTTAAGCTTACTCCATATTTCTTCTCTAGAACCACACTTACCTGAATCTTTTTTGGCCATTTTACACTACCACCTTGGGTTTTGTCCTTGTGGCATTACATTTAATATGATTTCTTAAAAACTAATAAAGAGAAAATGTTGATGCAAAGAATCTAGAAATGGAGATTTAAAGAAGTAACTGATTAGTTAAGCATAGCAGAATCAAATTGATCATATGACAGCCTCCTAATAATGCTGATACATCCCTATAATATAATATTTAAATTATCCATTAGTTCAACTAATTCAACCACCCCCAACAAATAGAGAAAAAAAAAAAAAAGAAGAAAACCATTCATCATTAGTGCTATATAGAATGCAGCTATCTTAATAGTCCACAACTCAACTAAGCAATTGCCCCAACTATTTGGGATCAGGTACATGTTCCAACATTCCACTCAGTTCGGTGCCATATCTAAAAGTATGGGCCCTTATACCATTGCACAATACCATGCCATGCCTGAATAATTTGTTGTTCTGATTAGAGATCCAAAATTCTTAAAGTTGTGTAATTGTAACATTAACTTGATAAAAATTTTGTAATGAGATTTATTTATGTATCAAAATTAGGTCCTTGCAACAACTGTCAGTAGGTAAAACATCTATAAGGAACAAATATATATTAACACTAGGACTGATAAATCATATGCATGGATACCATATTGTGGTTGGAAATCTTTAGACTTTAGAAGAATGAAGCTTCACCTGTTCTGCAAGTTTAAAGCTGTGTGTTCGCATGTATTCCATCCCAATATACAATGTTGGTAAATGGCATCTGGTTTAAGACAATAATAAAATCCAACCCGTAAATAGAAAAATTCATAATTTATAAGATGGCATCAATCATGCATAGCTTGTGGAAATAATAAATAATCATATTACACATATGAAAGAATCAAAACAAAAACAAATGAATTGAACAATTGTCAGAATAAGGAAATCAGACCAAATCCTATATCCCAATGATTTGATATTCTAAACAGTTAAACAACAAAGAATCAGATCTCTTTGTCAGGCATAATCCCTTAATAACAATGTGGTAAAGCTTGGTTTCCAATTTTCCAGATAATGATGGAGTTTGGGTAAGTAGAATCACTGTCTTGAGCAAAGTTGTGTACTGTGATTACAAACTTCTACTACACTGTTCCTTTTCTTATTTTTATTTATAATCTAATGCTTCTAGGATCCTGCATCCTTGCTATGCGCAAAATGCAAACCGCAGACAAAGTTTATGCATCTTAAGACATAAATCTATGTCTTTGAACTTTTACTAAATTTTTCTAACCTATGATGAATTGACAAAACTACTCATGGAGTACATACTCTTGAGTTGTTTCTAGTCACATTCGATAACTTATCAATTGAGAAAATAGCCTTTTTACTTCTACCTTGATAAGAGTTGTTTCTGGTCACTTTAAAGCTAGAATTAGGATTTCTAAAGGAAGATCGTTAAGTCTACAAATAGAGTCATTGCAACTGAAATTTTAGAACTATTAAATAAAAGTTTGATTTAGGGAGTTCTGGTTATATCCACGAATCTCTTCATTTATTCAATTATTCCCTCCTCTAAGGCTAAGTGATTTTTTTTAGAAAAACTAACTATTTCATTCAAGGAGGTGCCTTGAGAAATGAATTTGGAGAGGTCGTATTCTTTACTCAGGTCCTTTGGAGATTGGGGACTCTACTAGGGCAGAATTATTAGCTGCCTTACAAGGGGTCCAATTTGAAAGTCAATTATGTGTGGAGCAGCTTTTGATTGAAGGGGACTCCAAGGTGGTGGTGGGGTGGTTGAAGAACCCAGAGCAAGTTGTGTGGTGGTATAAGAATGAAATCAAGAAATTTAAATGGCTTACATGTAACATGTCTGTGAAAATACAGTGGGTGGGGAGATCAGCAAAGGCATTGGCTGAAGGTCTAGCCAAGCAAGGGGCAAGTAGGGAAAAATTGTTTTGGGCTCAGTTGTAATTTGATATTTACCTCTTTTGTAATTTGTTTGGGAGAGGCCGCAGCTTACGCCTCTCCAAGGAATGCTTGTATCAGTTTGAATCTCCGAATTAATAATGTTCTTCATTACATATAAAAAAAAAAAAAAACTATTTCATTCAAGTAAAAGGATTGAGATGTACAGCATGAAAGGCTAAGCAACAAAAATCACAAAAACCACCCATCAACTATCAGGTAGTTTATTTGCACAATACAAAAAGTTCCTCTCCAATCCTGACATAGCTCAGTGATCAGCCTTATGGTTCAGTTCTCTTGGGATCCATCTAAAAAAGCAGCCAGCTCTGAAATTTATAGAAGGAGGTGGGCCAGCCTCCAAAGCCCAGTCCTAGGTTTACTTCCCAGCCGATCACATTCTTTGAGTCACCCTCAACCAGCAAGGGAACAGCTTGTATAGCTTTAACAGATCTGAGGCCTACAAGGAAGGCCCTAGCCTCTGCTTCAGAAGCCACCCTTCTTTGCCGTAACAGGCCCACTAAAGGTCCAACCAGAATGTCATTTGAATTCAGGATAATCCCTCCAATTCCTGCTTGAACTTCACTTCAACTGGTGAATGAAATCACAATTTTTATTTGGAGGAGCCCAATAGCTGCCTTTCAAACAGAGATCAAGAAAGAACTGCCAATTCCACAAGTCACTTTACAGTTGATAAGACCAAGTGGTTTATCTCTCTACTCAAAGTTCCAAAAACAAGATTTCTTCCCTTCTTCCAAATTTTGTACTGCTTCATTGTTAAAATCCAATATTCTTAAGCAGACAGCAAGCTGTCTACTTGCTTCTCACCTCTATTAATGATCATTAATTACCCAACATCAACCCAGAAAGCTCACAACCAGTGTGTTAAAAGCGCAAGGCGCAAAAGAAGTGCATGGGGCAATTTGCGCCCAAGGCACAAGGCGCACACCTTTTCGAAGCAAGGAGCAAAAATACAAAGAAGAAATCAAAAAATGCCAAAAATTTTAAAAACAAATGCAAAAATTAAAAAATAGTAATCATAATATATATAAAATATAAACTTTAATTTCAAAATAAATATTTTAAAAAACCTATTATCTAAAATTAAAATACATAAACATAAAATGTAAAGCTTATTCAAATGAAATTAAACAAATAAAACATTTTCAAGCATGTAAAACCCACAATTCATTTTTTTTCCTCAATTGCATTAGTTTAAATAGCTAGTGTGATGTAAAACATCTTGCATTCTTTTGTTGTTATTTCTTTTGAAGAGCTACACAACAGGGGGTAGCCCATCCCCCAACCCATAACCCCCCCAACCCAGGTGCGGGTGGGATTCAATCCCCAAGTCTCGGCTACAACCAGCAAGAGACCTTACCAACCAACTGGTTGGCACCTTACAAAAAACGTTGCATTCTTGGCTCTACAAGCCACCTTTGTACCAAAGCCCTCGAGGCAAGCCTAAATAAATCCATGTTAAGAGTCTTAAATTCTTAATCCTTACACAAAAATAAATGATTTGATGTGGACAGAAAAACAAATTACATGCAGCATTTCAAGTATTCAGCAATAAGAACAAGAAATACAAAGCTGAAAGCAACAAAACAAGTTGGATTTTTAGGGATTTCAGACCTGAACCTGAAGTACAACTCCTCCTGGAACAGTTCCGCTATATAACAATGGCAGCAAGCTTGCCTCCTGTGCGGACACACAGTCATAGAGGGATTGGAAGGTGCCAAAATGGGTTGACTCCTCAAAACCCAAGCTCCCAATACTTGAAGCCCCTAGTTGGGGCCGAGTTATAGCTCAAACAAGAGAAAAAGAACCAAAAAGACCACCTACAGAAACAGCCCCCTTCTCTTTTATAAGACTCACTAGCTTGCTGGACAAGCCAACTAAAATATTTACAACATAAACCCCTAGAATGTTTTCTTTCACAAACAACTCATAAGAACAAAACTAACTTCAAACAACCCCCCCCCCCAAAAAAATAACTTTTGTTACAAAAAGACCCAAGAGACCAAAACCCAACAGATGTGCACCCAACTGCCCCTGACCAGAATCTGAATTATAAAATGACGAAAATACCCCTGGACTCAAACTGTCAACAAAGCTACCCAAAAACAACAATTTGGGATCCTACTACAAAAAAACACATGCAAAGCATAATACATTCATTTTTTCTTTCTTTTTTTGGCCTCATCATGATCTTATAATGTTAATTGCCTTTTAAGAAGATATTTTACTAGGACGAATGAATGAACAACATTACCAAATAGAGGGTTCTCAGAGCTTCGGTGAGCGAGCGAATTTAAGACCCTAACATGGATTTGCTTGGGCTTGCCTCAAGGGGCTTGGTCAGGAATTCGGGGGCAGAGCCCCCAGCCCAGCCATTAGGTTCAAAAAAGAACAAAAGGCAAAAAATTTTAAAAGGTGCACACCTGGGCAGCTGGGCTGTAGCACAAGGAGCATCAGGCAAACGCCTAGGCACACTAGGCGTGTGCTTTTGAAAGTACTGCACGTAGGACCTAGCCAAGGCGCATACCTTAAAATGCGCCTTGGCTGAGTGCCTAGGTGGGCTTTTTAAATCACTGCTCACAACAGATCTGAAAGTCCTAGGACCATCCACCTATCAACCATCAATATGGAGCTTAATTCATAGTCATTTCTTTTATATAGCAGGGCTGCATCAGCTCATCTACAGGTTTTTTATTTATGCAATGATAGTATACTTATCTCAGACATATCAAAAAAATGATTCCTAAGTCTCAGATGAATTCAATCATTACATATGTTACTTGTTCTCAAATTAACTCATCATCACTGAAGCCTCATCCCAGCTAGGGGTGAGCAAAAAAAACCGAAAAACCGAACCGACCAAAACCGAACTGAAAAATCGGTTAACCGAACCGGTCGGTTTGGTGCTTTTAAAAAACCAAAGGTACGGTTCGGTTTCGGTTAACCAATATAGAAAAATGGCGGTTAACCGAACCGACCGGTATACATATATTTCTATATATTTTATATATTTATGTATATTATATATTTTTTTTATATTTTTTATATATTATAAATTAATAAATATGCATTAGATATAAATATATATATATTTATAATTTTTTATTATATATCTATATATTTTTATAATATATATTATAAAAAATTAAAAACCGACAAACTGAACCGACGGTTAACCGATAGGTCTCGGTTACCGGTTTTCCAAAAACCGGTACTACCGGTTCGGTTACAAAATATGCCCCAACCGAACCGTGAGCACCCCTAATTCCAGCTATATGGTGTCATTTACATGAATCCTGTTTCGCCATTCCATTCTGTTTAATGCCATATCAATTGTTAAATTACCGGCACTAGGCTCATTTCTTACTACTTCAACCCATTTCCTTTTTAGTCTACCCCTAGCCTTTCTAGCCCCTTCAACTTGAAAATATGCTTTCATTTCTTTTTTGCCACAAGCGGTTATATAATGACATTAACAAAATATACATGGATTTTTTATCAGCAAGAAAATAGATGAGCTCTGATTATATAGTGATACTAATAAAATATACGTCTTCAATATGCATCACTCAAAAATGAGTTCTAACCCAACAAATTACCCAGGAAACAAACGAGCTCCAGTACGATAAGCAAACATTGCCTGATCACCCTCTTCTTGAGCAGCATAAGCATTTCCATAACCTATCCATGCAGGTGCAAATGTTCCATCCAGCTGTGTAGCCTTGCTGCAGAAGCAAAAGTTGAGCCAAAACTTTAGTTCTTAAGCACTAACTTGTATAACTTCAGAGATGGACCTACGAAAACAGAAACTCGAAGAATACATAGATTTTGAAGAATAATCAAGTTATAAATAAAATGTTTTGTTTTTCAAATCATCTAGTAATGAGATCAAGAGCAGAAGGAACATCAATCTCAGGATACAAGGTCCATTTGAAGTTCCTTTTTTTTCTTGTTCAGTAACTAGATAAAAGAACTTACTAATAAGAAAGACTAGTATGGAGGGCTAATCCCCAACTTCGTAATTTCTATCCCTTTCTTTGGAAAAGGGCCAGCTAGATCATCAGCAGATCTCCAAATACAGCAGAACAAAATGTTCACATGAACTGTCAAAGAACTAGCCTCTCTGACACAATGTTAATATATCCAAGGTAATCAATCTTGCCCATCCAAAATACCTCTCAACATCCACCACAGAGTAAGGCAGTAAGCTACAGCATATATCAGCCTTAGACCCTTTAGTAGATACAAATAGTTACTCTCTAGATGAATCATTGTCCCCTCCAGTCCTGAGTAGACCTGAAGGGTCTTCCTTTATAACTCCTAAATATTCCTCTAATGTATGATAACCCTAGTTTCCCATCAAAAAAATCACCAAAGTTCATCTTGGTAGGAAATAAGGAAGGGGAACTCAGGACTGAACAGGGACTCTGGAAGACAATGAAGAAGAAAAAGTGATGAGCCCACTCTGTAACAATGCTATCAGCATTGAAATCTCTAAACTCATCCAAAGTACACATCCAGTTGGCCACCAAATGGTGATGAGATCCATTAGCACCTCACTTCCTTACTTTTGCCACGGAAGACTCTAGCATCCCTTTTTTTCGCAGATCAACCAGATAACGCAAGAATATGCATAGTCATGTACAAACAACCAAATAACAAAAGATTTCGAGTACAAAAGGTACATCTAGAATGAAAATACAAAAATATGGTCTAATCCAATTCATCCTGGTAGAATCTTGACTATTACCTGAAATATCGTCGTGATTGGTCATATTTCTTGATACAATAATAGTAGCAACCAACAGCAAACCATGACAAAGCTCTAAAACAAAGAGAATGACAAGAATTAGTCAGAACACAGCTTCATAGTGCTGAGATGGCTACACAAATTAGAAGTCAAAAAGTCAGTAAAACAATATAGCACCACTTATCACTGTAATTTAAATATCACTAACTCAACCAAATGCTGCAACTGATGTTTTATAGAGAGCCAAATTTAATCTCTATGTTCAGTATCCTTGAAACATTGGCAACCAGTTGAGATTTGGTGCCAAGGCTGCTCAGTGATTTTTTAAAGAAGGTAAAGTAAAATTTCATTAATAAGCAAAAAGAAAGCCCCTGTACAACAAGAGGCTGTACAATGGGAATGTACAAACATACATCTCTGAACCCTATACCATCACCCCCCTTACTATTGGCAAAATGATTTTTGAATACAAAAAAAGACTAGTAACCTTTTCCTATAAATTCTGTGTACTGCCACCCAAGAATACAATTTTCCTATATCTTCAAATACACCGACTCAATTGAACTATCTTCCTGACATAGTTGTCAAGGCGACGCCTAGGCGACTAGGCGCTTTTCAAAGAGCGCCTCGCCCAAATGCCATATATTTTGCGCACTAGGCGCCCACCCCAAGACTTAAGCGGGCACCTACATGCATCTAAAAAAAATTTTTTTTTAATTTATTAATTTGATATTTCATTGGTTGTTGTATTCTTTTAAAATAAACCTGTTACATTGTGTCATTTTAGTATTAAGAGAACTATACATTGTATCATTTTAGTATTAAGAGAACTATACACTGTATCATTTTATTATCGCTATTTTCTTTTCTGAACCCTTGTATCACAAGGGTTTTGGTTCGACTGGAGAGGGAGGAGAACTGAACAGGCGAACACTGCAAGCTCGAGTAGCCCAGCTCCATCACACCTTAGTTCGAGCAGGAAAGTTGATAACTTCAGTTCTTCTTCGAAAAAACAGGGGCTTTCCAGTCCTCCTTTTCTTTTTTTTTTCGAAAAAACAGGGGCTCCGCCCCTATACTCCTCAGTCCTCCCATTCTCCACTTCTTCTTCTTCTTCTTCTTCTTCTTCAACCCCATGAGTCCAACTGTTCTCAGTCAGTCACTCTCACTCTCTCAGTCGTCAGTCCGCCCCATGAGTCTTTTTTTTTGTTTTTGTTTTTTTTTTTGAAAAAAAACAGGGGCTCTGCCCTACCCAATCAGTATTTCAGTCATGATTCACACTTGAATCATCTCAGTTTTTAACAGCCTAAGCTGTCGAACCTACTCTTCTTCAATTCTTCTCTAATCTCTTCTTTAATTCTTCTTCTTCTCATTCAAATTTTTTTTTATATCATTAATATATATGATTATATGGCTGCTTTTTTTTTATATGGATGAACTACATGGATGAAACTTGATTCAGTGATTGTATGGCTGAATTGGATTCTCTTCTTCAAAAGTTTTTTTATGGCTGAATTACATGTCTGAAACTTGATTCACTGATTATATATATATAGTTGGTTTAGACTCCTTTTTATTGATAATATTTTAGATTTTTAGATTTTTATATGAAATTTATACTCATTTTAATGATTTATAGTGTTAACAGTTAGTGTACATGATTGCTAGTTAGCACACAAAACCAATAAAATGACTTAGAAAAGCATATATAAAGTAAAAGCTCAATAAAACAAACATTTTAAAATTCCAACACCTAGGCGCCTGGGCACCCTGTGGTCGCCTAGCCTCACCTAGGCGCCTTGAAAACTATGCTTCCTAATAAAGACTATTGTTCCTCTCTTGCTGTATCATCCACTAACTGCTGCTGGAACTGTGTGTGTTCTGTAGTCGTATGAGACTACTAACAGCCCAAGCTGTGGTGTATAACAACAGGAAATTAAGAGGATGAGAGGAGAGAATGAGAGAAAGAGAAAAGAAGAGAAGAAGATTTCGAAGGAAGGATTTTAGAAAAGAAGAGGATGCTTAATCTGCCGCCCTCCTCTTTCTATTTATATTAATTCTGAAGTAAGGATAAGACTGCTTACATGGCAAAAGTAAAATCCTAATAAAAGACTAACAACTAATTGTGGACTGACACTTAAATAACTAGTAGTTGTATACGAGTACAATAGAAAGAGGTGGGGACCACATCAGTGGTTTCTACGTGTTCCATAAAATTCTTCCTCTTTTGCTCAAACCTTCCAATCTCCACCCCTTTAATAATTCCTCAATTGAGTTAATATTGCATCAATCAGAAAGACTTCTTTAAGTTCTTCACTCTGATCATGAACCTTAACAACTACAATAAGAGGGGCATCATTTACATGTACCAAGCAACTTAAAGACAAGCAATACAGTGCACCAGCATGAGCATGGAAGTTAATTTTCTATTTTCATGTATAGACAAACAAAAAGTATTTTCTTAAAGATCCAGTGGGAATTGGAAACTCTACAAGGGCTGAGATACTAGCTGTTGTACAAGGATTACAAATTGCCAACCAACTTGGAGTGGAGAATTTGAAAGTTGAGGGACATTCTAAGGTGGTAGTGAATAGGTTGTTTGATTCGGATACAGTTATTCAGGGCTACATGGATCTTCTTAAAAAAATAAATAAATGGCTATGGCTTACAAGGAATATGTCAGTCAGGTTTCAGTGGGTTAGCAGATCGGCAAATGCCTTGACAGATTCTTTGGCTAAACAAGGGACTTCTTGGGTTTCTTTGTATTGGACTACCTTATAATTGGATTCCGATAAGAGTTTGGTTTGATCTCTTTCCCAAGAGGAGGTAACATCTTGTGCCTCTTTTTACAGAGATTGTACACTTTCTTACTTTAATTAATAAAACCACCATTCAGTCATCCAAAAAGAAAGATCAAGGGGAACAAAGAAGACAAAAGGATTACCAAAAATGAGGAGATGGAAGTTTAAATCTAGTTAGACTAACTTACAATTTTAGGCCCATTAGAACATTCCAATTTGCTTTTATACAACATTTTAAGATGCAAACATGATTGGCCTGAATTACAATGATAAAAGAGACAGGAACCAGTTAAAAACTGAGCCATCAACTCAAATGGCTCAAGATGCAAAATATATATATATATATATAAACTACAAACACTAACCACTCACAGCCAGATTTTACATAGTAAAATGACAACAATAGCCCTAAACATAAAAAAGCACACAAAAATAAATAATAAATCAGAAAAATCAGCTGCAGCCACCAAACATTCAGAAACAAATGAATCAACAACCCACAAGTATATTAAACAGACTATGCAAATGAAACCAAACTTATACTCACTTCTGAGGATAGTCCTTCACTAAATTGCATGCCATGAGATAAAGCTCATTTGAATGGCCAAGCTCCATCGCTGCTGCTAAATGCACCAAAGTGCATTTCAAATGGAATGGATCTCTCTCAAGTAGTCTAAAATAAACATGGAGAGAAAAAAATATATATACATTAGTTAGAATCATACATAGTACATCAAGTACAAAATCTAGTTGCACTCTGTTCCCAATTCCTTTCCAACTTACACAGAAGTTAAGTCAAAGCATTTCTGATATTCTCCACACTGATGATAATATTCCGCTTTGCATGCCAGCAGATCAGTGTTGTTTTTCAATGTGTTTGTAAAGGAGGGATCTGAAGAATTAATGCCACAATTTCCTTTCTCCAGTTCTGTGAATTTTGCTTCAACAACATTTTCTTTGTCGTACTGGATGATAGATAGTTGAAAAGTAAACAAAGTGTTGATTAATAGGTCATCATAATGACAACAAACTGAAAATATGGAAGAGTCTAGTGTAAACTATGAACTGATTAAAGGGGCACAAATGTCGATGGTCATTCACATTTTTTGCTTGAAAATGGATACATTTTTAAGTTGTCTGAGTTTTTACCTTCTTTATTAGACATGAATAAAATGATGAGAGCCATCCATCTTCAGGACCAAATTGCAACGATGACAGGAGACTGGTTTCTAAAATATATTAACATAAAACTAAAATATGTTAAATATTCAATCTTCCAGACAACCAAAAAAAATTGAAGGACTGCATACTAAAAGAGAGCAAGTAGGTTCTGTAGAATAGACGGAATGCATGCTCAACAATTTAAAAGACATTCCCAAGGATATGAGAGAAAATATCTAAGTTACAACTTGGAAGGAAGTACCCATGGGAAAGAAGACTTAGAAATTCCTAATTTTTACATGGACAAGCTCACATGCATAAATGAATATGAAGGAAACTTCAAAAAAAAAAAAAAAGTGAATTCTAAAAGCCTCTTACCTTCTTCACAAGTTAGCATGTGATTGTCAATAAGACATTCCAAAGCCTACAAAATGTTGAGAGACATAACCATTACACAAATTACAAAAAATGAATATTTTGAAAAAGAAGAAAGAATGTAAAATGCCATATTATTGGTTACATGACAATAATAACCTAAAAATAGAAAACTAAGGGTGTGAAATGTATGGGAGAGTTGGGAGGGTTTCTTTGTATGGTGACCGTTATCTACCCAAATTCTTTTTCTTCTCTATCCCCCATGCAAAACCTCCTTTCCTGCCATATAATATATAATAATTTTCTTTTCTTATAAAATGGAAGAGCACATTTAATAAAATTCAGGTATATGTAATGGGTTTTAGGAAGTCTAGTTACAGTAAATTCATTGGCTTCAGTTTACAAACATTTTTTAAAAGATATAAATAAAGAAAAAAGATTATGTTCCTACTATTTTTTACTAAAAGTTTGTACCTCATAGCATAATGGATCAGCTTTGATTGCAGCCTTGTACCTTGAAGCACCACAAAGGAGGTGAATGTATGATCTCTTCCAACCAATATACAGTTCAGTTTAAAAGAAACAATTAAAAATGAATGCATTATTTAGAAAAAAAAAATGAAAAGAAAAACAAATTTGAAAAACAAGGATGACCACATGTCTTAAACCAAAATGGTGCCACTAAATGATCATCAGACCTCAAAAGCTGATATAAATTTAGAACAAACAATAATAGCTCAC